CGTCGTCTAACTTGAGCATGTCCTAATATTTTTTACTGAAATTTATTTATCTTTCAACAAAGTGTTGAATTGGTCATTTAAGGAGCTATTTCACAAGCACTAAGTTACAAATGCCACACGCACGCACACTCCTAGGAAAGTTGTACTGGAAAATTTTCCATAGATTCCATAATTGATGTGGCATAATGTTTTTCCAAATACGTTGGGTAGGAATTATGAATTTGAACTGATTTCATAACTTTTTGACGAAACTAAAGGAGAGATAGTTAATGTTGAATTTGTTTTCCGTAATACTTGTTATAATCGGAAAAATATGCTTAATTTTAAGTTCAAAACGTTAAAAGTTTCTAAACCACCCTTCTTCAACATTCAATAAGTCCATTGAGAGTGTCTAAACAACTTATACAAGTGATTATTTTGATATTGCGATTCTAATATTACAGCATCCTAAATTTGTGTACTGAAGCTCATTTTAAAGCTATCAATATTTTATAAAAAAGATCATTAATAAAGTAATCAATTACGATCACAATGTTGACATAACACACACGTCGTGTATGTATTTTATGAATATTAATTAAATGTCATTAAACCCTTGTCCAACACCTATTTAATGCTTTTACTCCAAATCTATCAAACGAAAACCTCCAATAAAAAATTATAATTGAACTATTTACTGTTATTAAAAATATTAAAATAAAAACTTTAATCGAATATTAATTAAATAATTAGGCATAAATATGTATATTAAAAATGCAGCAAAACTTGAAAAGAATTTTTAATTTTTTCTTTGAATTAACAAAAAAAGTGAAAAAACCAAAATAATTTAAAATCTGCACTTTGTATATTTAAGTCTACTGAGGGTTAGTATATGTACGTACATACATACATACATACGTACTTAAGCTTATAAAATATACGTCTTTTAAAAAAAAAAACTGATCATAATTTAATAAGTTCGCATGATAAAAACTAATTTGTTGACATAAATACGTGACAGCCTTGTGTGCGTTGCCCAAGAATTTCCATAAATGTTCAATTTACACAATTAATAAATTTGAACAATAAAAAAAGAAAATTACAAAGACTTGATGAATCGTGTTTGTGATTATTTGCAGATCATGTAGGCAGCAGTCAATCGATCAGCAGCAGCAACAGCAGGTTAAGCCAAAAGTTTATTATAATTTTAAATAAGTGATAAACAAATATTAAAAGAAATACAAAGAAACAACTGATACAAACTTGCATCTTTTGTAAGATTATGCAATTTCTTTGCTCTGCCAAATGCTGAACCATTTTGGTCAAAATGTGGTTGTTTAAAAATCCGCATGTGAAGGCATATTATGAGATCATATGCAAAAACAAATACAAAATCCCAAAAAGCAAAAATCAATGTTAATAAAACTTTGTTAAAAGTCGAAATGAAATTATTACACGATTTTATTTATTATATGACCGGGTAATTTCTTCTTTTGAAATATGTTTATGTTTTTTATTGTTATTAAATATTTTGATTAAAACAACTTGAAAAATAAAGCTTTTAGGTGGTAAAGGTGGAAAAAAGAAAGAAATGTATATTTAAAAAAGGAATAATAACTGAAGTTGAGACCGAGAATTTTAGACCCTTCACCATAGTAAACAAATTGAATGAAATAGCTAGCTTAACTAACTAACTAACTAACTAACTAACTAACTAACTAACTAACTAACTAACTAACTACTAACTAACTAACTAACTACTAACTAACTAACTAACTAACTAACTAACTAACTAACTAACTAACTAACTAACTAACTACTAACTAACTAACTAACTAACTAACTAACTAACTAACTAACTAACTAACTAACTACTAACTAACTAACTAACTAACTAACTAACTAACTACTAACTAACTAACTAACTAACTAACTAACTAACTAACTAACTAACTAACTAACTAACTAACTAACTAACTAACTAACTAACTAACTAACTAACTAACTAACTAACTAACTAACTAACTAACTAACTAACTAACTACTAACTAACTACTAACTAACTAACTAACTAACTAACTAACTAACTAACTAACTACTAACTAACTAACTAACTAACTAACTAACTAACTAACTAACTAACTAACTAACTAACTAACTAACTAACTAACTAACTAACTAACTAACTAACTAACTAACTAACTAACTAACTAACTAACTAACTAACTAACTAACTAACTAACTAACTAACTAACTAACTAACTAACTAACTAACTAACTAACTAACTAACTAACTAACTAACTAACTAACTAACTAACTAACTAACTAACTAACTAACTAACTAACTAACTAACTAACTAACTAACTACTAACTAACTAACTAACTAACTAACTAACTAACTAACTAACTAACTAACTAACTAACTAACTAACTAACTAACTAACTAACTAACTAACTAACTAACTAACTAACTAACTAACTAACTAACTAACTAACTAACTAACTACTAACTAACTAACTACTAACTAACTAACTAACTACTAACTAACTAACTAACTAACTAACTAACTAACTAACTAACTAACTAACTAACTAACTACTAACTAACTAACTACGACTAACTAACTAACTAACTAACTAACTAACTAACTAACTAACTAACTAACTAACTAACTAACTACTAACTAACTAACTAACTAACTAACTAACTAACTAACTAACTAACTACTAACTAACTAACTAACTAACTAACTAACTAACTAACTAACTAACTAACTAACTAACTAACTAATAACTAACTAACTAACTAACTAACTAACTAACTAACTAACTAACTAACTAACTAACTACTAACTAACTAACTAACGAACTAACTAACTAACCACTAACTAACTACTAACTAACTACTACTAACTAACTAACTAACTACTAACTAACTACTAACTAACTAACTAACTAACTAACTACTAACTAACTAACTAACTAACTAACTAACTACTAACTAACTAACTACTAACTAACTAACTACTAACTAACTAACTAACTAACTAACTACTAACTAACTAACTAACTAACTACTAACTAACTAACTAACTACTAACTAACCTAACTACTAACTAACTACTAACTAACTAACTAACATAACTAACTAACTAACTAACACTAACCTAACTAACTACTAACTACTAACTACGAACAACAACTAACTAACTAACACTAACTAACTAACTAAAACTAACTAACTAACTAAAACTAACTAACTAACTAACTAACTACCTAACTACAACTAACTACTAACTAACTAACTAACTAACTAACTAACTAACTAACTAACTAACTAACTAACTACCTAACTAACTAACTAACTAACTAACCTAACTAACTAACTAACTACTAACTAACTAACTAACTAACTAACTAACTAACTAACTAACTAACTAACTAACTAACTAACGAACTAACTACTAACTAACTAACTAACTAAGACTAACTAACTACTAACTAACTAACTAACTAACTAACTAACTACTAACTAACTAACATAACTACTAACTAACTAACTAACCTAACTAACTAACGAACTAACTAACTAACAACTAACAACTAACTAACTAACTACTAACTAACTAACTAACTAACTAACATACAAATCTACTCGGCTCAAATCGGTGGCGGCTGTTCGTCAGCCCACTTTTTGGCAAACTGGGCCGCGCTGGTCGACTTGTCAAAATCTTATGATTTTCTAAAAGAATTTTCGCAGACACGTTGAAACGAATTGCCATGTCATATTGAGCTCATGTATTAAAATTCTAAAACACTGTTGGAGACATTTTTCGGCTTATATCTCTGCTAACTAACTAAACAGACAAAGAACAATAAGCTAGTCAATAAACTATTCCATAGTTTGTATATCAGCCCATAAAATACTCAATAGTCAAGTTCATAGACTGGTCCAAAGACTAGTAAATAGACTTATTCAAAGAATAATCTATTGTCTCATCAATAGTCTATAGACTAACACATAAACTAGTTCACATATATATATATAAACGGGTTCGTCCATGGACTAACCAGTTGACTAGACCATAGGACAATACACTTGTTAATATACAGTTCCATAGACTAATAGACTAAATAATGTACTATTCAATGGACTGTTTTATAGTTGGAAAACGGCTTTATAGACTAGTAAATAAACTTGACTAACCAGTCTATGAAATAGTCAGTAGACTAGTTCTCTTACACCTTAGGTCATTCCTGTATACTTCGTCCAAAATAGAAGCGATAAAGCATATACATATCTTTTTGATACGAATGTTTATTTGATCACATATGCTTTAATACGCATCCACTAAACTTAAATTATGACTGTAGAGTGCAAATCGCATCATATCCATCTTTAAGCTAATTTTATTTATTTACCTCTAAAAAAGAAATAATAACTCTCTTTTAGCATTTAATCATAAAAAAAGAGACATTTTAGACAAATTTATAAATTTAAGAGAAAAAGCTGTTTTTTGGCAACAATTGTTTACAAAATATATAAGCCGGCAAATGAATTACACTAACAAAGACTTGTTGTTTACATTTGTTTTGTTGTTATTTGCCGTTAACAGTTCAAGGTTTTTTGCACAAAACTAAATCAAAACAAACCAAAAAAAAAAATAAACAAACAAAAATAGGGAGAGAAAAAAAGCTTTCAATGCACTTATGGCAGCAGCAGCTAAGTAATAGATGGATCTCTTAAATTTGATTTGAAAATATTTGAAAATTTGTTATGGTTGTTGTTGGTTTTTACTTTAAACATTTGTTGTGATTTTATTTTTTATGGTGTTTGATATTTTACTGGTTTTTATGATTATTATTTTTTTGAAATTTTCTTTCTTCAGCCGAACTCTTATGGCTAAGAGTGTGTTTTGTTAGGGAGGGGGTTGGTTGTTGAATATTTGTTTTAAAGCCACAGACAACACAGCTTGAGTATTTAACTGGAGTATTTAACAATTATTTAACAGTTTATTCCTCACAGAGGATTGAAATAGTTTAAGGTTTTTGAACAATCTTAGATTGAAAGAAAATTAAAAGATTTAAAAACGATTTTTTTATTAAACGAACTGTAAAATTATCCTTATATTTTAACGCGGGCGTTAAAAACGTAATCAAGAAAACAAATTCAATAAAAATTAAGTAAAACACCAAATAAATTAAATGACCCGGGAGCCATGCGGATCCAGCGGAGTCTAGTGGTATGGATTAAAGATAAAAACATTAAAAAAAAAAACTAAACAAAATTCACAAAATTATTAAAGTTTTAAAAATTATTGAAAGAAAAAAAATGTATAAAAGTGTTGAAATGTTTAATGAAAATTAAAACGGATATAAAATATATTTTATTCAAAAGTGTTTACTTGCAATTTCATGCTTGGTTTGTGTTTCGAAAAAAAATTATTGTTTATTGGCAAATAAATAATAAAACATTTTTAAAATGTTTTCATATCTTCAATTGTTTTACTTTTTAATTAAAAAAAGTTTTGAAATTATTTGTACAATTTATTAACTATTTTATTAGATTATTTCCTTTAATTTCCTTTAAACATCGTGCAAAAACAAAAGACTTAAGTTACAAACTTTAAATATTTTCATTTGTTATTTCTTTCGTTTTCTTTTAAGAAATATTCCCAACAATTAAGTGTGAAAATATATAAAACATTGTATTGCAGGAAACAGACATGAAATTGAAAGTGAACAATACCAGTATTTAAATCTCTATGTAGTGTGAACACTTCCATGAATTGATTGAATGAATTGTGTGTGTATGTCAGCAGTGTTTTCTTATCTTTCAAATGTGATTGCCAATGTAAACATTTAGGCATAAATTGTTGTCTTTCTTTAAGGAAATAAAGAAAACTGGTTAAAATTGTATGCATATTGATGAAATTTATTGAAAATGATTATTAGGATATGATAAAAATTCATGAAACTGGTCAACTGACTATTAATTTGTTAAAAACTTGAAGACTTTCGAAATCTTCTCATAACCATTTTTGAGATTTTTCTAGAAATTTTTATATAAAAAAATTTAGTACTTTATTTTAAAAGCACCCAAATAAAGTACAAAATAAAGTACCAGAATCCTATTACATACAAAATGCCCGCAAGAATACAGTATAAACTGTTATAAATATGTTGATGGGCCAGCAATCGTGATGAAATTTGGCACAAGTTAGTTTTATGTATGAACCGGAAGCTGCATTAAGTAAAGTAAAACAGACATCGGTCCCTACTTGATTCTAATTTTCATATAAGATCTCCTTTATAAAAGTCTTTAACGCTCATAACTGGTTTGCAAATAGCGATAAAATTTGACCTAAGCTAGTTTTATGTGAAGCAATTTGTATATCCTATTCCATGAGGATAGGTTCATAGAACGCATAGAATTCATGTTATAGAAAATCAATTTGTTGTCATAGATTTAAAAAAAAACGTGATTAGGAATATGATATAACTTTTCCGCAATTGTTTGTTTTCCTCTTATAAAAGGTTATATGTCTAGAAACCTATGCGAGAATAACCGTTAAATCTTCTCAAGAGACACCCTACATTCTTGAATAATTCTCGAAATGGTGTACACGTTCTCAATGGATCTAATGGTCGCTTTACTATTAGTTCCCAGCAGTTCTCCAAAGAGTCAATGCACACGTAAAACACATTAATGTTAGTTAGTTAGTTAGTTAGTTAGTTAGTTAGTTAGTTAGTTAGTTAGTTAGTTAGTTAGTTAGTTAGTTAGTTAGTTATTTAGTTAGTTAGTTAGTTAGTAGTTAGTTAGTTAGTTAGTTAGTAGTTAGTTAGTTAGTAGTTAGTTAGTTAGTTAGTTAGTTAGTTAGTTAGTTAGTTAGTTAGTTAGTAGTTAGTTAGTTGTAGTAGTTAGTTAGTTAGTTAGTTAGTTAGTTAGTTAGTTAGTTAGTTAGTAGTTAGTAGTTAGTTAGTTAGTTAGTTAGTTAGTTAGTTAGTAGTTAGTTAGTTAGTTAGTTAGTTAGTTAGTTAGTTAGTTAGTTAGTTAGTTAGTTAGTTAGTTAGTTAGTTAGTTAGTTAGTTAGTTAGTAGTTAGTTAGTTAGTTAGTTAGTTAGTTAGTTAGTTAGTAGTTAGTTAGTAGTTAGTTAGTTAGTTAGTTAGTAGTTAGTTAGTTAGTTAGTTAGTTAGTTAGTTAGTTAGTAGGTAGTTAGTTAGTATGTTAGTTAGTTAGTAGTTAGTTAGTTAGTAGTAGTTAGTTAGTAGTTAGTTAGTTAGTTAGTTAGTTAGTTAGTTAGTAGTTAGTTAGTAGTTAGTTAGTTAGTTAGTAGTAGTTAGTTAGTTAGTTAGTTAGTTAGTAGTTAGTTAGTAGTTAGTTAGTAGTTAGTAGTTAGTGTTAGTAGTTAGTAGTTAGTTAGTAGTTAGTTAGTTAGTTAGTTAGTTAGTTAGTTAGTTAGTTAGTTAGTTAGTTAGTTAGTAGTTAGTTTAGTTAGTTAGTAGTTAGTTAGTTAGTTAGTTAGTTAGTTAGTTAGGTAGTTAGTTAGTTAGTTAGTAGTTAGTTAGTTAGTTAGTTAGTTAGTTAGTTAGTTAGTTAGTTAGTTAGTTAGTTAGTTAGTAGTTAGTTAGTTAGTAGTAGTTAGTTAGTTAGTTAGTTAGTTAGTTAGTTAGTAGTTAGTAGTTAGTTAGTTAGTTAGTTAGTTAGTTAGTTAGTTAGTTAGTTAGTAGTTAGTTAGTAGTTAGTTAGTTAGTAGTTAGTTAGTTAGTTAGTTAGTTAGTTAGTAGTTAGTTAGTTAGTTAGTTAGTAGTTAGTTAGTTAGTTAGTTAGTTAGTTAGTAGTAGTTAGTTAGTTAGTTAGTTAGTTAGGTAGTAGTTAGTTAGTTAGTTAGTTAGTTAGTTAGTTAGTTAGTAGTTAGTTAGTTAGTTAGTAGTTAGTTAGTTAGTTAGTAGTTAGTTAGTTAGTTAGTAGTTAGTTAGTTAGTTAGTTAGTTAGTAGTTAGTTAGTTAGTTAGTAGTTAGTTAGTTAGTTAGTTAGTTAGTTAGTTAGTTAGTAGTTAGTAGTTAGTTAGTTAGTTAGTTAGTTAGTTAGTTAGTTAGGTAGTTAGTTAGTTAGTAGTTAGTTAGTTAGTTAGTTAGTTAGTTAGTTAGTTAGTTAGTAGTAGTTAGTAGTTAGTTAGTTAGTTAGTTAGTTAGTTAGTTAGTTAGTTAGTTAGTAGTTAGTTAGTTAGTTAGTTAGTTAGTTAGTTAGTTAGTTAGTAGTTAGTAGTTAGTTAGTTAGTTAGTTAGTTAGTTAGTTAGTTAGTTAGTTAGTAGTTAGTTAGTTAGTTAGTTAGTAGTTAGTTAGTTAGTTAGTTAGTTAGTTAGTTAGTTAGTTAGTAGTTAGTTAGTTAGTTAGTTAGTTAGTTAGTTAGTAGTTAGTTAGTTAGTTAGTTAGTTAGTTAGTTAGTTCGTTAGTAGTTAGTTAGTTAGTTAGTTAGTTAGTTAGTTAATTAGTTAGTTAGGAATCGAACCCACAACCTCCCGTCTGGTAGACTATAGCTCTCACTACTAGCCTACCGAAGGCAAATAAATTGATATATCCCGATCAATAAGCTTTCTTCGGCCTAAATTTTTCTAAAGTAACCTGGTAGCGTCATAACAGAAGTTCGACAGATTTCACAACCGATTCTTTCCTATAATTTGAACCCATCTGGATAAGATCTTTTCTAAAGAGTATTTTGTTCCATTCTTCCATTCCTTTTGCGATGTTGCTTTGTAAGTAGTGATGAAGTAATTCATTCTTTTCTTTTTTTGATTATTTTCGATTTACTATTCAACGGAATTAATCGATTATCGCACAACAAATAAACAACACTATTTGTAACAAATTTATTTTAAATTATTAAATAATATTCAAATAATTTGTCTGGGCTACCTCAACTTAAAAATAAACAAAATTGTGTTAATTTTTTCTATCAACTTGTAGATACAAATTTACATACATTTATGGTGGGGGTTAACAATTTTTTTTTTTTTTTTTGTTAAGTTTGCTTAAGATTATTGCCAAATTTATTATGGTAATAGTTTGGGAGAAGAAAAAAAAAAAAGATTACAAAATTGTATAATTTCTTGTTATTAGAGCCTTGATAGTAGAGTTACGTATGCGGCGGATATTTGCTCCATATTTGTTACTCATATGTAAATATTAAATGGAACCAAACCAAATTATAGTAATCGCAATCGTGATGTTAAGAGGGGAAGTGTTAATTTAACATTAACGTTTTTGATTTTTCCCAAGATAAAAAAAAAACAAATAGACATATAGAGAGAGAAAGTAAAAATAGCAGTTACTAGTTACAAAAATCAATGCAGTTAAGATAGGAAAGGGGTGAGGACAGATGGAGGAGGTTCGTAACAAATGTTACAAAACTTTGTGGGCTACTGCTTGTTTTTGGATTACATCTATGTACATATGCAGCCAGTTATCTATTCCTTTAGGATTTCTTTAACGAATTGTAATTTTGCTTTGATTTGCTTTGCTAGTTTACAGCCAAAAACACTTGTTTCCTTAATAGTTAAACTGTATCTTTTGGTGTTGCATATAGAGTAAAGATGAAAGTAATTTTAAATGGTTGTGTTACTGATTGCGATTACATCATGGTTGTTGGGTTTTTTCTTTCTTTTTTTTTTGGGAGGTAAGTGAGGAAAGAGTATGTTAAAGTGGTGGTAACTTTTGGTTAAATGTGTTAATGATTTAGCAAATATGATGTGGTATAATGATAAATGCTTTTAATAAAGTGAATGACTGTTTGCATGAATGATTGTTTAACGTGTTGCTGAATTAATGTTGCATTTAACATTTTTGTGTGTGTGTGTTTTTTGCACTTTTGAGATTTCAATTGTTTTTTTTATTTATTTATTTGTTTTTTTCAACTTTTAATCCAATTTATTTTGGCATGAAAAGAAAGAAATGTTTTCTATTACATCATAGTTGTTGTTTTGACTTTGAAAATGATTTATTTTATTTTGATTTATGATGTTTGAACTTTAATTTAGGTTAAAATAAAAGGTTTTTTTATGGGAAAAGGCATTGGATTATCTAACCTATCGGCTAGTAATGCAAAAAATGTGTATGAACTAATCCATAGAGTAATCAATGTCAAATATACTAGTGTATGGAGTAGTCTAGGGATTAGACTATGAAGAAGTCTATGGAGTAATCTATGGTGAAGTCCAGGAACTAATGTACTAATGTACGAA